ATACGGTATTCAGCTGTGACTCTACAAGCAAATGCCAAGATGTGACACCTCGCCATAGTCTGGCTGCCTCTCCCCTTCAGAAATGCTCCTGCTTCTTTCAGAGCCCGTACCCACAGGAGGAACTGATAATGTGGGTATGCACAGGTGCTAGGCAGGTTTCTGCCAATTAACTTCTGCCTGGATTGCCAGCACACTCTGCCCATTGCCCAGTTCTGCCAGTGCACCTAGCCTTTGCAGCCTAGCTCTGAATTCCCATGCAGGGTGAGCTGCAGCCTCCCTACAGCTGTTCCAACCCAAGGCTCCCCACACACAACACAGGTCAATGCTCTTGAATCCTGAGACGCTCTTCCAGCTGTGGGCTCTTCCCAAACAAAGTTTGTCTATTAATTAGAGGTGGCTCTTTTCAGTTTTAGAATGGCTGTGGACAAATGCCAAACCATTCTCTGGGTTGAGATCTTTCTAAGTTACACCCTAGCCCATGCAAGCCCTGTCCGTTATCCCAACAGCACAAGTATCCATGGAACGTGTAGGCTTTCTGAGTTGATGCAAGGGGCCCATTTCAGAGGAGGTTTACGTTCCTTTCTGCTTCTTCAGGCACATCCCTGTCAGTGAGTAGTTCAAGCCCCGATGGGCTTTGTCACTTCTCTCCAGACTCTTTACAGCCTGCGCCACACTTTAATGAGCTAGAAGCATAGGGGCTCCTGGTGGTCTCAAGGTGTGGGTTATCGGCTGCAGAACCCTTTGGTCCCAAGTGACCAATTAACATCCAGCCAAACCTGGCCTTGACCTTTGCTGGTCTTTGTGGAGGACTAGAGTCCAAACAGACTCTCGTTCCCACTCCAGAATGCATTGCTTTCATTGCTGCTCTTCTTGCTGTTGGGCTTCTCAGCAGAGAGTTCAAGGGCAAGTGGGACAGAGCAGGATTTGCACGTGCATGTGTGTGTGGACACTTGCTCAGCCACTTATCAAGCTATCTTGCCTTCAGATCTTTCATTCCTTTAAATTTAGACTGGGGCAGTGCCTGACTGTAGTGGGTTGGACAGCCCCATAGGAAAGCGCAGCCCCCGCACCAGGGAGCAAGCTATCTTCACTCTGCCAGGCTGCCAGGGCTGTCCCTCTCGCCAGAACCAAGCTCCGGGTAATACAGAGAGTACAGATGTACCACTGTTCCCATATGCCTGAGGAGGTCGTTTTGGGGGAAAAACTAAGGCGCGGGGAGGAGATGGCTCACACAGTCACGCAAGTGACCCAGTGCATGATGGGAACCTTGTGCATCCTCACCTGCTCCCACTAGCCAATGCCCCTGCCAGCCACTCCGCCAGCCATAAATGCAACCTGGGGCCCAAAAAGTTTTGTCCTACCCATTAGCTGAGCTGCTGGGGGAGCTAGCCTCCAGTCCCCCCTCTGCCAACATGCACGTACTCCACCTCGCCCAGCCTCGCCTGCGTGCTGTTCCTTTAAGATGAGCGTGCTAGGGGAATTGCGCGCCAGTGCCAGCTTTCATTCTGCGCGCCTCTCCCGCTTCCCCCCTTTGGAAAGTTTCCTGCCCAATTGTTATGTGCGATCCGATCTGAAAGTTGCTCTCTAAGCTTCTTGTCACATTTTGACTTAATGAAGTGCAACTGGAGTGGGAATTGGGGTTCATCACGCCAGTCTCGCTGCGCTCCCTTGTTGTCAGAAAACAGGGGCGGTTGGGGACCGTAATGCAACGCTGCAAGTCGTTATCATTCCGGTCAGTCTGTTTAACACAAAATTAAACAAAGAACTAATTAGTGCCTCATGAATTAATAAATGCGCAGTTGCCGGGTAGGAAGGGGAGGAAGGAAAAAAGGTTGTTGAAGGAAAGATACTGAAAAAGTCGAATTAGGATGGTGTGTCAAGGGGAAAAGAAAAAAAAATCTGAGTCCACTTTGGCCAAGAGTTTGAAGCTGCCTGGTTTTCTTCATGCACACTTCCTCCTGCCTGCCTGCTGGCTTCAGAGCAGAGCTGCATGGCCGGGCACAGGCGAAGAGGGATGTCCAGGTGGCTCCGTTGTTCCCGAGGAGCCAGGGCTGGGATCTCTAGGCTGGTAGCCAGGTATGAATATTTATACGGAGAGGACTTTGCTGCCCAGCTGTGGGAGCTGATGGTGATGCAGGCCGGGAGCCCCTCCTTGGAAAAGAGATGGGATACTGCAAGGCTGTGCGGTGGGGTCACAGATGCCAAAGTACCTTGCAGCCCAGCTGCCCTGAAGTGGTTACAAACCTTCCCGACAGTGTCCCTACCCCTTGCTTCAGCTCAGCTCTTCACACTATAGAAAGCACTAGTACTTTGATATTAAGCCTCTGATAAAGAGGGGCATAAAGAAGGGAAGAGGCAGTGGGGCTAAGAAGCGAGGAGTGGGAGGGAGGGCTGGCAGAGAAGAGTGGTGCCACGTGCACTAGGACAGCCAGAACAAGACATGGGGAGATGGGGAAGGGAAGACAGGAGAGTTTAGGTGCTGAGGTGGAGAGACGATGGCCATGTGGGCAGAGCTGGGGAGAGGCAGGGGGAGCAATGGGGCAGAGCAAGGAGGCATGAAGGCCACACGGAGCAGGTTTTATTTGAGAATTTGAGGCTGCTACAATAACAACTTTTAATCCCAGATTAAGCATGTCCCAGAAACTCCCCCACCCCCGGCCCTTGCTGAGCCAGCCCGGCTCCCTCCAGAGCAGTGAATGCGCACAGTGCACTCACTCAGGGAAGGGGAGCAGCAAGTGCTCCCCCAGCAGAGCTGAGCGGAGGGGGTCCCTGTCAGGACGCCCACCGGGTCTGGCGGTGCCCTGCCCTGCAGGTGGTGTGCTGTGGAGCGGGCTGTGCTCTGGCGCTTTGTCAGGCAGGGAAGGCAGGCAGAGCTGGGGGAGGGAAGAGTCCATCCTTAAGAGGACATGTCAAGTACAATTAGCGTTATCTGTCTAAATATGTACTGGGAACACAGAATACAAGAGGAGGCCTGGCTGGCTTTAATGGAGACATATGCAAGGTCATATTGCCTCATACAATCCCCCAATCTGATTTGGGGATTACACATTCTAAGTAAATTGGCGTTATTCCTCTTGCATCATTGATAAGCTGCATCTGAAATGAGGGGCAAAAAACCATTAAAACCCCAAACCTAAGAGCTGGTCCCACACTGGGGCATGGATTGCCCTGGGGGGCTGGGAGGGGAACGGGGAGAGCCCTGGGAAGGAGGGAGGGAGGGAGAGAACAAAAGAGAGAGTGACGGGATGGGAGAGTGAGGAGAGGAAGAGCAAACAAGGGAGGAGAACAAAAGGGAGGAAAAGTGAGAGAGAGAAGGGGAGTGGGCTGGGCCGGGGGGAGTGGCAGTGCAGGTAGGGCACTGTCAGCGCTTGCAGCTGCCAGAGAGGACACCCGGGTCCCCAGCCTCGTTAGTATGGGGCTTGGAGAGGAGCCGATGGCAATGCGTCTTCCTCACGATGGGGCTCCCTTCACTGGGTCCCTCCCTCTGTCTGGCCAAAGCCAGGCTGTCTCTCTTCGCAGTGTCTGGCAATGAGAGGAGGCCGCCCAAATACACACAACACCAGGACCCAAAACACAAGTGACCGCTTGGTCCCTGCAGCAGCCAAGGCTTCCCAGAGCCAAGTCCCTCTCACTGTCCTCTCTGGGGTTCGTAGGTAGGCAGGACTGTTCAGAGGGGCCGGTCAGGGAAGCTAGACCCTTTTGCAGTAGCCAGCATGCGGTTGCAATTAGAGCCCAGCAAGGAAAGTGGGGATTCCTGGGCTCAGCCTCTTGCACACCTGTGACCTTAGGTGGGCCACGTCACTGCCCTGTCCCCGTGTGCCCAGCTGAGCCCCTGCCCAGGGGTGAGGGGAGGGACTCATTGGTGATGGGAAGCACTTTGGCACCCTCACACACTCTTGGGCAGAGCTCCCTCCCTTCCCGGCCTGCAGGCTTCCTGAGCGCTCTGTCACCCTCCCGGTCTCCCCAGGAGAAGGGAACCCATGGCTGGCTGCTTTCTGAGCCATTGCCCTTCCCCCTCGCTCCTCCCGCAGTGCCTGTGCAGGATAACCCCCTCCGGAAGTCTCATAGCGCGGCTTTTATGCTCTGTCACATTTTTGGAACATATGGTTTTAAATAATTCAATTTACTTTTCCTGTGTTTTGCTGTGACTTTTTTTTTCCCCTGTCCCCTTTCTTTTCTCTCCCTGTTCTCTGCATTGCCCCAGTAGCTAATGGGTGTAGAAGAACGGCTGGGGGGACACCGTGTACCTTGAGCCCATACAGCACCCCTTAGGGGCTGGCACCCCATCTATGCATCAGAGTGGGTATAGCAGCAGAGTGCTTGTGAGGCTCTGAGAAGGGCAGGGTCAGGGGGAGGGGCACGGTGCTAGGGGCAGAGCCTGATGGAGAGTGGGAAGAGCATAGAAATAGAGGCGGAGTAAGGTGAGAGTGGGAGGAGCTCAGATCTGGAGGCGGAGTTATGTGTTGACTGGGTGGGGCATGATGATAAAGGAGGGGGCATGAGAAAGTAGGAGGAGCACGGGTGTGGGGCAGAGTCAGGTGGAGACCAGGTGAGGGACCCTTTATACTCCAGGATCTCTGATGTATAAAGAACCAGCAGAAAATTCAGCACCTGGATAATGAAGGGCATTAGGCTTGTCTGTTGTTGCATGTCCCTGTGCTGAACAGTGAGGCAGGACCTTGCCCAGTAAGGGGCGCTCTTTACTATCCCACTAATCTACTCCTCACTAGTCCTTGAGCTCCCTGGTCACCAGGGCAGGGGCCTGTGTCTCCCAGGGTGGTGCTGCATGTACTCACAAGCACTGCACCATTTAGCTAAGCGCAGAAAGGGGAGCTCCTTGCTTTATATCCCGGGGTCTGCGTGGCTGCTCTGGCTGGAGTGGAAGAGATCCCATGCTTTCTGGTGCTCCCATCTCTGACCTGGGGCTCCTCTGCATGCATTGTGCATCCTGGGCTGGATATGTCTAAACATTAGCCATCTTCCTTCTCTTTCCTTCTCAGGATGAAGTGACTTTACAGCTAAAAACCAGGCTAGAAACCAGGCCTTGAAATCTCCGAAAGGTAGGAGAGACTTCAGGCTGCAATGGGTATGTGACCACACCCTCCTGGGTTCTCTTTTCCTCTGCGTGTCTCTCACTCTGTGGCCTAGTCGTTGTGGCATTGTCTGCACTAGGGCTCCCAGGGTGGCCAGAGGTGGTGGGGTGGAACCAGTGTTATCTCTGGAGAGACATTTCCAAGGGGAAGGCTTGGTGCAGACATGGCCCATGTGTCTCTAACCCTGTCTGTGTCTTGGTCACTCGAAGCTCTTGAGTTTGTGTCTTTGGGGAGTTCTGGATGGCCTCTCTGCCATCGTGGTCCTTTCTGGTGCAGCGATGTGCATGGGGGAAAAGTGGGGGAAGAGGGGATGGGAGTGGGCTGTGGGGCCTTTTCTTCTTCACCTTGTCCAGGTGAGAGAGGGAAGAGGGCTTGGTCTCCATACACCTGAGACCCACTCCCTGGCGCCTCTGGGGATAAACTGAGCTGAATCTGAACAAAAGTAATTTCACATGATGCATCTGTGCTGGCACAGAGTGAGACTTGCATATAGTTAAACCACAGCACCACTCTCTATCCAAATCTCTTCATTCCTTGGGCTCCGGCAGACTGGAGTGTCATGGTCTCCTGGAGCCAGAGATGGAAAAGGGTCTCAAGAGTCACGTAGTCCATGCCCCAGTACTCATGGCATGGTAGTTTCTTACAACCTGTTTTCCAGGGCTTCCCAGTCTAGAATGGGCAGGAGTTAAAAGCTCAGATCCCATTGAGACAGTAGTTTGGGGGCCTAATTCCCTTACACTCCTTTGAAAACCCCACTCTGCTTTTATTCCTTCTCAGGATCTGCTCCACAGCATCTGAGATCTCACTGCTCTTCCCATGATTGTTCTAATCATCCTAACCTCCTCATTGCAAACCCTCCACAATCCCAAGTCTTCCCCCTTGGCCCTTTCATCTGCTTCCAGAGGTTTTCCACTCCTTCCCTGAATCGTTCCTGAATCACAATGTCCCCACAGAACCTAGCTTCATTCAGCAGACCCTCTGGCCTTCCAAGTGTCCTGGCTCTTCCAGGACCTCATCTAGATGTCATTTCTCTCAGACCTGGAACTGTGCTTCCACTGGCAAGTGCACTGGTCATGACAGGTCTCTCTGGCTACTTGGGAATGTCGGTGCTTGCTGGGAATCCTGCTTGGGGACAGCAGGGTGGATCAGTTTGAAGTGATGGATTGGAGTCCTGTGAAATTGCAGGGGGCCAGGCAGGGAGGGAGCAAAGAGAACAATGGGGCTGTGGTGCAAGTGACACATTAGGGAGAGAGAGTTGGGGTTGTCTTCTCTGCTGAGCATCTGGCCAGCTTACCGAGGTCTCAGAGGGGCTGCCAGGCTGGGTTGAGCAGCACTGGAGGAGCTCCTGGGCCTGGGCTGTCAGGCCAGAGGGGACTGGGAGAGCCCAGGGGCTAGTCCAGGCCCCTCTGCCTGGCTGGGCAGTGTCAGAGGGCACCCCTCAAGCTGGGCCAGGCAATGTCAGAGAAGCCCCTGACCCAGTCTGAGAGGTGCTGGGGAGGGCCCAAGTCCAGGCCGGCTGGTGCCAGAGGCCCCCAAGCCAGGCTGGGCAGTGTCAGAGGTGACCGGTGGAAGGCCAGTGTTATGTAAATATTTCTGCTGTAACATGGCAGGAGTGAATGGCCCTGTGCGTCCATCCATCATTGCTGGGGAACAGAAGCCTCCCTGGGAGCACGGGGGGCGGGCGGCGCGGGGGATGCAGACACAGGCAGCATGTGCCCTACTCATAAACTGTTTGTTTTCTTTTTGTCTCTCGCGTTTCGGAGCACCCCGCTGGGACCGACTCTGGGTTTTGTCCTCACAACCTCTTCCCCCACCCGCTTGGCCCTTCCTTTTCCTCCCACCCCCCAAAAAATCCCCCGTTCACATTGCGGCTTCTTTCTCTGACTTCAAAGGCTCCCCATCATTGTTTGGGATCGGCAGGCAGTGGCCCTGAAAACGTGATCACAGCCAGGCGCAGTGTAGGTCACCACCGAGCACCATGCTCCAAGCGCTGAAAGGAACAGGCAGATTCTTCCCTTTTCATGCTTCACAACCCTGGTTACAGCTCTGTGCTTCGCCCCGCACGCTCCCTCGCTGTGCTCCTTTTTCTTGCTCTTTTCTCTTCTCTTTCCTCTCTCTGTCTCTCGCTTCTCCCTCCTCCTTTCGCTCTCATTCTCTCCTGTCCTGTCCATTCTCAGGCTCCCTCTCTTTTCCCGTCCACTTCCCTTTTCCCCTCCTCACTCTGTTTCTGATTCTCCTTTCTTGCTCTCTTCTATCTGGTCTGGAACTGTTTCCTTTCTTGTTCTCACTCACTCTCTTGGTTCATTCTCCTCCTTCCCTTTTCCCCACTCTCCCCTAAGACAGTTCTGGAGTTGGGTGCCAGGGTCAGAGGGATCTGCTTGATCCTTCTCCACTTCTGTTCAGTGACAGTCTTTGTTGGACTCTGGGGCAGAGGCCTGTTTCTCCTTGCGCTGTCTCCCTTGGGCCCGAGTTGCTGAGGCTCTGCAAGAGTCGGACGAGCCCTGGCCAGCCGGCAGCCATCCGTCCCCAGCGAGGCACTCGCTTGCTGTCTGTGTGCGGAGTTCTGTTCCCCCACGGTCTGCCAGCTGTTAGCATGGCCTCCATCCAGGTAGGGAGTGCACAGTGACTACTGATCCCTCCCTGAGCAGTGCCTACTTGCAGGCCTGCACACTGGATGTGTCCATAAGCCCCAGTAGAGATACAGACAGGGGACATACTGCACCCCTGGCTGAAGCCCAGGCCCCTGTATTTACGCAGTTCATGAAGTGGAGAAGGTAGTGGGGCTGCCCCAGACTCTGTGTCATGTAGCTTTTGGGCCAGAGGTGGAAACAAAGCAGGGCACAGACCTACCAAGGGGGTAGTTCAGAGCAAATGGACCAGTGTCCTGAACAGTAATCTCATTGGTTTGAGGGCTCTTGGATAGGGGTCCCTGTGCTGCCCTGAAATGCAGAAAGATGGGAACTTGTGCTCATTTGAATGGCCATAGAGCAACCCCCAGCATGCCAGGACTCCCTGTCTGGGGCAGTCAGCTAGGACCTAGCCCTTCCTCCTCACCCGCAGGGTCCTGGGCTAGGTGCTGGGCTCTCTCCTCTCCATTTGGGAACAGGGAGCTTGGTACTTGTGCCTCTGGTGATTTGCGAGGCTGGTTTAATGGCAAGAAGCCCACCAGGACTTGTCTCTGGCTAAATAGGGATATTAAAGGACATTGCGGCAGGGGTTATAGAGTAATAATTTGTCCTAATGAGCTGGTGTCACATTCTCCCAGGCCTGGCCGAGGCGAGAGCTGGAGCCGTGGTAGGCAAGGGCCGCACTCGCTGACCTGCCAGCCCAGGTTAATGAAGTGGAGCTCAGCATGGGGAGTCAGAGAGCAGGAGCTCAGCCAGCCCTCGCAGGCCATCCCAGGGTTGGGGAGAGAGCTCAGTGCCCCAGGGAGAGGCTGCTTGGGGTGGTGTGGCTTTGTCTGGCAGGGCAGGTGCTGTGTTGTGACACTGGCATATCCACACTTTACCAGCGTATAGCCTGTTGCCTGTCCCTGCAGGCAAATGCCCAAATGTGGAGCTTGCTGAGCTTGCAGGACAGGCCCAGGACAGCCTGCTCAGAGGGAGGCAGCACTGCTAGGGAGAGGGGCTCTTGCTTTTCAGAAACTCAAGGCTTAGGGCACCATGAGGATCACAGACCCCAGCCACAGAAATCCACAATGCCACTTTTTTGGCAAGGGAGATAGAGCAAGGCAGTACAGGACAGCTGTTGCCACAGGGGTGAACTGATGTGCACCGAGATGCTGCATGGGGAGACGCTTTATCCTCGTCCTTGCCCTGTGCTCAGAGCCACAAGGAGGGAGGGAGATAAAACTCCCCGTCTGTTCCTTTCCTTCTCTGCCCCTGTCTCTGCTGTCACACTATCTTTTTCCTTGCCCTCTCTTCTCTTCCCTCCATGCCTGTCTTATGGCCAGCCAAGCAGGTAAGCATGGTCAAGCAGCAGGGCTCTGATGAAACCCTGGCTGAGCAGTGTTCCCAGGCAGGGCACTCCATGCACTGGGCGCCTTGACCTGCTTGTGAACTCCCTAGGGAAGGGTCCATGCACCTGGCACCTTAGGGATGCTGCGTCCATGATAACACAACCAGGCTGGGAGAGCCCTGCTGTCCTGGGCAGGCGGCGCATCCTGTGGGACACATCACCCCAGTCCACAACAGGACATCAGGCAGCCTGATCCTTGCTTCAGCTGGCTGGGGCCTGCAGTCCAGGAGGCCAGACTTCCTGCTGGCTCCCTCTTCCTCCTCCACCTTCCCCCCACCATCTCTCTCTGTGCTCTCTAACCCCCGCCCCCCCTTTTCTCTTTGCTTTTCTCTCTCTCCATCTCTCTCTCCCTTTCATCTACTCGGAAGGCTTTACTCTACTTCCTTGTCACCCTAATTGATTGCATTAACCTTTCAGCGTATTGGATTTCCCCAGCACCGTGCAGAGAGCACTGTGCAATATGCTTATAATCTGGGCTGTAATGGACAGGGAGCAGTCAACGAGCCCGTGCTCCAACAGGTTCTGCTGACAACTTGTTCTCAGGGCGGGGGAGAGAGAAAGAGAGAGGTTGATGGGGCCTCTGTCCTCCCGTGCCCAGCCCAGGCGGCCTGCAGCCGGCCAAAGCCCTGGGTGTCTTTTACTAAACCAGGAGGCTAGGGGAAAATCTATTTAGCATCCCCATCTGCCCGCACACCCCTGTCCTTTGCCCATCTCTTTCCTCAGGCCCTGTAGGTCATGTACCTGGGGAAGCCAGGCGCTTCTCCAAGGATCTCACTTGGGGTAGCTTGGATCCTGTGCCTCAGCTCCCCTCCCTACATTCTCTGCATTCTTATCCCACCTGCTACATCATTTATTATAGGCTGTGCATTGAAGATATGTCTGCAAAGGGCAAGGGCTGTGATACCTGTTCTGGGCTCTGTTTGTATTTTAATGAGGGGGGAGGGTTCTCTCCTAATTTCAGTTAAACTCCATTAAA